CCCCAAAACCCCAAAACCCCAAAACCCCAAAACCCCATTATAATCAATTTATATTGAAATGAAGGGTATTGAGCATCAACCAAAATATTTCGGCTATATTTTTCTGCCCAATAATGCTGAGGAGTAATACTGGCCAACCAATTGGCTTCTGGTTTTCTTGAGTGTGATCTCATAATTTGCGATTTCAAGGTCATCAATTTCATCATCAAGCTCATCATCAAGCTCATCATCGACATCTTCGCCCTCACCTTGGCTGTCAGAGAACTCGATGATGGCTGTTTCTTTGCCATATTTCTCCCTATTATGGAAGAGGTTATCCAGCGCCTTGATGTCATCTAAAGAGAGGTTACCACTGCCAGGCTTACTGTAGGTGACTTTCTGGTCTTCCTGCTGTTTCTGCTTCTCTTTCTCCTCATTCCAGAGTCTTAGTACCTTTCTTCGCTTGATTTGTTCCCTTATTTTAGATTTTTCGTAAGAGTTTAGCTTTGGAACTCTCTTTTCGAATTCATGAAATTCCTTGACTCTTTCTTTGAACCTATTTTTGTTCCTAGAGATTAGTTTAGAGGGGTACCTCAGGGGTCTCTTTGTTCTTGAATCTCGTCCTGTTGATGATATCTTTGATCTCTTGACTGGAGAACTCCAGTTCAGGCCTAAAGTGATGCCCATGGCTTACTTTCTGCGGTTAAGGACACCTAGCCTGTAGCTTTTGGAGTGAAACTGCTTGCCAATAGCGCTCGCCTTGGTGAAATTATCATCTGCCATCTGAATATTAGTGGAGAGGTTACTTCATCCTTGATCATTATATCGGTCTGGTGCTCTTCTCAAGACTCTTGTTGAGATTTGCACGTTGGTTAATCAGAGGAGTCTTGAGAGGCTTCTTATGCATCCTTGAGCGGTTCCTCGTTCTCGAAATTGTCTTCGAAATTTTGCCCCGTTTTAAGAGCTTCTTAGTTTTCACGAATTTTGGTCTTTGTTGAGGCTAATTTTTTGATAAATTTGTGCTAGATTAATAAATTCTTACAGCTTTTAGCTCAGGGATATAAAATGAAGCAATGCTGATAAACTCCCTCATTGCCTTTCTGTTGTTCTGGAGTACATTCATCAGGTCATTTATTTGGGAAACCTTCTGGCTGTGGATTCTTCTCTGGTCCATTGTGATGCCTAGAGCATGGGCTTTGATCTCATATTGGTAAACTTACTGTTACGGCTTTTGTCCATTTTATATTTTCAAAAATAATCGAGAATTTTGGGGTTTTGGGGTTTTGGGGTTTTGGGGTTTTGGGGTTTTGGGG